AGAAATAGGTTGCTGCCTATTAGCGCTGGCTTGCCGACATGGGGGGGGGGTCTAGGACTCTCCTTTCTCTCATGCTCTGCGCTCTCTCTTATCCTCAGCAGTCGAGCGGCGATCTTTTTTTCCCCCGGAGGAATCGGCTCGACAACCCCTGTCAGGCCGGGTGAGACTGACACTGAGATGCTCCCACTGCCAATTTGCCGGCAGCTCGTTCCAAGCCGTCTGCTCGCTGCGGGTGACGGATCCATCAGACACGCTGAGGAAGCGATTATGGGCAGGGCTGTGCAATGCGATCTGATTGTTGGCCAGCTCGACAGCATGGAAGCGCTCCCACATCCCGTGAAACATTACGGCGCCGGCATTATTAGAGCTGGGGCCGTTGAGCTAACAGCCATGAGAAAGCTCAGCACCTTCTGCTTGGAGTCATCACCTTGCAGGGCCGGAGATGTTGTGATATGTTGTGATTAAGGTTTCGAGCTCCCAGCCTCTCTTCGGCACCAGATCGAAGAGCCGTCCATACACAGCTCTGCTGAAGGCGAAGCCCTTGAGCTTGAAGAAGATGCCCCGGAAGTAGCTCGGCACCTTTGCCAGCAGCACCTCCCACTTCTCCCTGATGTTCTTCGCCTTGGAGAGCATGACATAGCCCTCGACGACCCAGCAGTGCCCGGCCGAGGTGTGCATCTCGAGCAGACTTTTCATGAACTTGATGCATGCCTGCTCGAGCTCCGCCCTCATGAAGGATCGATCGTTGAAGACCAATGTCACATCCGGAGCCGTGGAGGCGGGCTGAGCTTCATTCTCTGGCACCTCGTCGCCGGTGACCTCTGGAAGCACCTTCTTGCCCATTCTCTTGATGTCTTTGGCGGTGGATGCGTCGAGCTGCACATGCAGACGGGTCTGGCTCGCCTGGCACTTGCCACGAACCTGTGGGGCTTAGGCTTAGGATGCTTAGGGGAGTGCTTCTATGGTGTAGGTCGGGGAGAGTAAAAAAAAGTCGGAGGCTACCCTATCTACAATGTAAGGTTTCGGGATGCTCTATGATGTTCTGGGAGAACCCTTGGCAAACCTCGGCAAAGATGGCATTGACTGGATCGAGCAGCAGCACTTCGGAGACGCAAGAGGTGTGACAACACAACTCTGAGTCACTCTCGGAAAGCACGGCCAGATGCACCCTGCGGGTGCTTGCCACCGGAAGGTCACTGGCTGCCGGTTTGCTTGTCCTGACCACCAGCTTGTCCCCTTGCTTCGTCAAGGAGCCTCGAAACACTGTGAGCACAACGCCCAGTCCTGGAGCTGCATCGATGCCTTTGCGCTGAAACACAACGATCTGAGGATTCACATCGCTCAAGTTTCGGAAGGCTTGCAAAGGCAGCAAGCCTGCGTGGGGAGCAGGAGTCTCGACCAAGCCAGCAACGAACTTCTCTGTTGCTTTCTGCCAGGCTGCTGCCCTGCTTGTCCTTTGTGCGCAAACGGAAGCTGCCCTCCGGGCTGCTGCGAGCTCTGCTTCGCGAAGGTTGTAGGCGTTGAGCTCGCACCGGCGATTCTCTAGCAAACCCTGGGACAGGATGCCCTCCTCCAAGCGGACAAGGCGGATGAACTCGCGGGTTGGCCCCATCAGGAGCCGTGCACGCTGCAGAGCTGGATAAGATCCATGGCCGCCCTCCTCGCCGACCATGTACTTAGAGAACGCAGGTTTCGCCATAGCCTTCTGCACGATCTCCTGCAGGGTCATGGGCTGGCTGCCTTCCTGGGAGTCCTCGTCGCGAGGAAGCACCTCCTCTGGATTCGCGGCCTCCTCGAGCTCGGGAGCGGCGGCATCAAGTGCTCCCGCATCCGGACCCTTCAAGAGCTCCTCCATCACTACGGCTCTGTCCTGCACGGCTTCTAGAAGCTGGAGGTGGTGCGCCTGCACGACATCAGCGCCTGCCTCCTCCACCACTGCCTCGGGCTGAACATCGTCTTCATCGGCCTCGACGTGTAGCGAAGTGCGAAAGTAACTCTCACTGCTGTGCTTCCACCAATGAAAAAACTTGCAGCTGAGCTCGTCAGGAGTTTCGTCTTTGCAGTGCATGCAGAAGTACTGGATGGCGGACACCAGGGACTTGTTTGCGATCTTGCCTAGCTGATCCTGGTACACAGGGCTAAGGGGTTTGGATGGAGGAATCGGGCTCAGGGTTCAGGGATCCTAGGAACGGTTTAGTTGGTCTCCTCCGTGAGTGGCTCCCGGCACTGAACCGTCGGTGCAGCTGACAAGGAATCCACTGTCTCCTTCTCCAGCTGCTTGGCTTGACGACCGTTGAGGCGGGCGAGGCTGAAAAGAGCATCGCGAAGGGTCGGCTGCCCGCGATACGGGGCCTTCAGTTTCGAGAAATGCTCCTCGACTGGACGCTCTTGTATGAGCTTCGGCTCCAAAGGAGTCATGGTGCAGGTGATGATGTTTGCACAGAGTGCACATGCATTCCGAACCGTTGTCTGGTGGATGCTCTGGGTCCTGTCTCTCTTCTTGTGGACGTTGTACAGCACGTGCAAGCAAAGGAGATAAAATGCAGCAAATGCGTTGGATGCATGGTGGACCTTGGCGAAACCCTTGGAAGCTGTGGCACCACTCATCATGAGGGCGGCGATCAGGGCATGGAAGTGTTGTCCCATCGCTGACCATGTCCGTGTCAGGAAGGGTGGCGACATGCGGAAGATGGAATCGCGGTCGCTCTGATGGTCGTGGCCCACAAAAGCGCGGACTGGTAGGTTTGCCTGAAGCTGAGATGCGACGTCGACCCAGACGTCCCCGAAGCGAGCCTTGCGTGATCCACTGAGCACTTGAAGTGCAAAGCGTTTTTGAAGATGCCAGGCTCCGTGGAAGGAGCACATCAGCTCCGATCCACGCCGAAGTTGGCCATATGGCCAGTACTTGACCTTGGCCAGGTACTCTACACGGCAGCCGGAGAAGAATGGCAAAGTCTCCCACTCTGATCTTGGCAGGAGGCCCACAAACAGGTTGTTGATGCGGGCATTCGCTGTGCAGCCGTCGAAGGACACACCTGAAGGAGCCAAGGAGGTCGCTGCTAAGTACTGCTCACAGACCTGCCCGAGCAGGCGCAGCATCGTAGTGGAACAGCCGATCACCGTGGATGTTGGCATGCAGGCGACCTCGAATACATATCGAGTGTTGTCTGCTCTCTGAGCCACGAAGTGCAGAGCAGTCTTTGCTAGCTTCTCCTTGGGCAGCAAGTCCAGGGGATGATCCTCGGGGGCTAGGCACGACCAATCCTCGCCCCCATGAGGATCCCAGGCACCACCGACGATGCGGTCCTCACCTTCCTCGAACAAGCGAGCCTGCTGATAGCTGGCAGTCCAAGTTGTTTCATCCAGGATGAGGTGCAGCCTGTGTGAGGAGGCTTTGAGAAGTTCTTGGAGCCTGACGAAGTTTTCCCTTACTTGATCTGGCTTCGTTAGAGACCTGAAGCTGTTCGGCACGTCGGGAGTGACCAGATTCACCCGCTTCACCACCTTCGGGTTGATGCGGAATCTGTCTAGCATCGCCTTCAGCTCAGCACCCCTGCCGAGGGTATGGACTGCATCCATGATGGCGCCCTCGTCAATGTGCGACCCCGTTCTCCGTCTTCGCTCGTTCTTCCAGGCGCCCTCCAGGGTATGTAGGAATGAGCCTACCAAAGCATGCACAAGTGCGTCGCTTCGCAAAGCGCCCGCTGCCACCTGAGATGCTAGCTGCAAGTCCGTCGCATGCAGGCGGCCCTTGGCCACTCCATCACCCAAGGCCTGAACGAGGGCCCCGTGGGCCACTGCCTGGGCGTCTTGGTTGCAGAACTCCGGCGTCTTGGGCAGGCGCACCTCCATGAAGCTGCGGAAGGCAGGGGACATTCTCCAAGATGGGATGTGCATAAAGCGCTTGCGGATCCGACGAATACGGTCGAGCTTGCTGGGCATGGCCGCGATGTCGTCGAAGTCGTCGCCGGCGAGCTCCAAGACCTTGTAGTCCCTGCCCTGAATCTTCTCCTCCACGACACGAATCTCGGATTCGTCTGCATGGAAGAGCACGTGTGCGTACTGAGCCAGGTCCACCTGATAAGACCTCGCGGAGATGCACTGTCGAAATGACTTCTTGCGGCACAGGGAGAGGCAAGCTGTGCAAGCAACATCCACCCGTCGGCAATGCCCCAGGCACTGCCGTGACCTCACGGAGACAGTCTCACCGCAATCGAAGATAGCATCAGCCATGGGATCCTGCTCACCTTGAGCAACTACCAGCCTCGGCTGTCCCGCTTGCACGTAGTTGACGACGGAGTCCACGATAGGATGCAGCGACAAGGTTTTGTCCTTTCCAGGGACTCCTTGGCATCGATACTCCTGGGACTCCTCCTGGGGCACCAGGGCCAGCTTCGGATGCTCGGGCTCCTCCTCCAGATCAGAGCCCTTCTCCTCGTCGCCCTCATCCTCTGAGCCAGACCAGGGGATGCCGAGGCGTCTCAAACCTGCACGATGCCGACGACTTCTTTCATGATCATCGATTTTCTTCTTACAAGTGTGGCTGCAGAATTTCTTCTGCATTTCACAAGCTTTGCAGTAGTAGACGGCCTGCTTAGACCAGCTCTGGGATGTCTGAGTGTAGACTTGGCTCCTCTTCTCACGGATGTAAGCTGCTAGTCTCCAGCGATGCTCCCCCCTCTTAGGTCGGCCCCTGTGATGCACCTGGGGCCCCAATGCTGATGGGTCTATCGCAGCATCGTCTTCGGCAACCACCACCGCAGAGCAGCTCGAGCCCGTTGCCTCAACCTGGCCTGTCCCCTTGTCCAGCATCCGCTTCCTCAGGCGGATACACACCTGGCAAGTCAGAGGCCTCAGGATCTCGTGCGGAGCTGCTGTCGCCATCAGCAACTGTTGCCAGTGCCCCTTCGGCTCATCGAGTCCGTGCGCATAGTGCTCTTTCTGGAAAAGAGTATGATCTATGTGTGCCTGCCGGGCTAGTTCCGTGCCTCGCTCCCGCAGCTTGGCCTTGGACATGTTGGTGTCGGGCTGGACCTTGGCAGACTGACGGGCCTTCTTGCTAGTCTTCTGCACCACCTTGCGAGGCGTGCTGGCATCTGTGCCGGCAGGAGATGCCTGCATCGGAGAGGAAGCAGGACGATCCGGTCTGGGCGGCGTCATCCTAGGATCAAGCGATTCAGGGGCTGGGCGCTTGGTAGATCGTACAGGAGTCGAGGGCTGTGCAGGCTCGGGGCTCGCTGCAGGCTTGCATGGCTCTGTGCTGGCAGTAGAGTTCGACGGAGTTGTGGTGCTTGGGTTGGGCAGCAGGCCCTCCACATCGCACGGTGAGATCTCGACGGTCTCTGGCATGCCTCCCGTGGACTGCAAAGACTCCAGAACCGAGTCTAGGTGCAGCACAACTCGGTGGCCACAGGACCACACGTCAGGCTGAGCGGTGCAGCTCGCGCAAGCAAGAGGCCCAACTCGGTGGCCGAGTTCCTCCCAGTGCTTCAGGAACGCAACTGCATGGTCGTAGCAAGTGCTATTGTGGGCGCCGTCATACACAAGGGCCCTGCCGTTGAAGACACACAAGAGCGCCCAATGGCTCGCGGAGTACAAGACACCAGCCAAGTCGCTGCAGTCTTGGCCCCTCCAGGACTGAAGATCGCCACAGCTGCCAATGCAGAGCTTCGTCGGCCAAGAGTTGCCGAAGTATTTGCCTGCCACGGACAGGCAGCCTCGAAGCACCTGACCCATGTCGAGATGGCTCGCAGCGATGTCTCGGTAGGGGTACCCTGCCAGCAGTGTTTTGGCTATTGCCAGCCCTGCTCCTGGCTCCAACTTAACACGGACAGTTGCAGCAGCTTGCCCTGGCTCAGACTTCATCACCTTGGCTGGCTGCTGTGTGTCCAGCCTGGACAGACAGGACCCCACGGGACGCTTTGCGGGTGCCAAGCACTGTCCATGTGCCGACACCGTGCTCTGCACCCAGGGCTCATCTGCGAGTGCACGGCAAATGGACTGCAAGGCCTCCTGCAGCTCTTCCTCGAGTTGCTGGAAAGGGCAGTGCACTACATTCTCGGGATGCTTGTGCTCGTTCCATCCAAGCCGCAGCACTGCAGGGCGCCAAGAGGGCGGCGCCACATCTATGAGATCACTCACGGAATTCGGTAGCCACTGCCTCTTGCTCGCATGATCTAGGAAGTGCCAGGGTCGCCCGTCGTCTGACCGGGCATGCTGCATAACAGCATAGAGCTCTGCAAGCGACAACTCCACATATGCACTACGTGCCGTTCCCGGCAGACTTGCATACAGCTTCTTCGCCGACCCCTCTGGCAACACTTGCCTCAGATACCCGTTTACGAGCTGCATACCCTGTCTACTCGCCTACACCAGCTTAAAGGATGTCCCACATGTCCCTGCTTGTTTCCCCCGCCACAGGACCAACAAAAGACAGGCGAGACACACGGCCTTGCATAGACGCTCCTGTTGCTTTTCCTCCAGCTCATGAATCACAGCCTGCCAGAAGCACTGCCGCGGCTCTCGGACGTGAGCACGAACAAGTTCACTGACCTGGCGAAGGATTTTGCGGTGCACACATCGGGGCTTGCTTTCCTATGCTAGAGTATGCTAGAGTCCAGAGCCCTGGGACAGGACGAGGGCCGGGGGGGGGGGGGGGGGNNGGTCACTGAGTGTCCCCTTACTACTCTCCTACATACTACCTATCCAGGAAGCTTGCTCCGCAGCCTATACTAGGGACATTTAGGGACACGTTTTCCCGCTAGAAGCCGATCCAGGCACTCAAATATAGGTCGATGCTGGGGGGGGGGGTGACTGAGTCTCCCCATACTACTTTCCTATATGAAGACCCACACCCAGACCTCCCTCGCTGCCTAATTTCGGCACTGTGGGTTGTCCAAAGCCAGCGCCGATCCAGGCACTCAAATATAGGTCGACGCTGAGGGGGGTGACTGAGTCTCCCCCTACTACTTTCGTATATGAAGACCCACACCCAGACCTCCCTCGCTGCCTAATTTCGGGACTGCGGGCTGTCCAAAGCTAGCGCCGATCCAGGCACTCAAATATAGGTCGATGCTGGGGGGGGTGAGTGAGTCTCCTCCTACTACTTTCCTATATGAAGACCCACACCCAGACCTCCCTCGCTGCCTAATTTCGGGACTGCGGGCTGTCCGGGACACGTGCCTGCTCTTCCGACTTGACCGAAACCGCAGCTTTCGGGGTTCTGGCAGGCGCCACCTGAGAAATAGGAGGAGGACGGGGGGGGGGGTCACTGAGTGTCGCCTTACTACTGGCCTATATAAAGCCTAGCCAGAGAAGCCTGCTCCGCAGCCTATTTTGTGGGCTCCGATGTTTCCCCTCTGCAGGACCAAACATGCAAATATAAGCGGAGGCTGGGGGGGGGGGGTGACTGAGTCTCCCCCTACTACTTTCCTATATCAAGGACACACGCCAAGACCTCCCTCGCGGCCTAATTCTGGGACACGTGCCTCCAGCGCCTCGAGCGGCACCGCAGCTTCCGGGATTTCGCTAGACGCCACCTGGAAAATAGGACGAGGACGGGGGGGGTCACTGAGTGTCACCTTACTACTGGGCTATATACAGCCCAGCGAGAAGACTGCTCCGTAGCCTATTTTGTGGACTCCGATGTTTTCCCAATCCGGGCCCGACATGACCCGACCCAAAGATGCAACTATAGGGTCCCGGTGGTTAAGGCCGAAAGTTCTACGTTGCGCCCCTCTGATCACACCTGACCAGACGGCAACTCCATAGACGGTCAGGGCCTGCAGCTGCTGGTAGATGCATCCAGCACCATCAACACCTGGCCGTGGAACCGCTTAACATGCTTAACGCAGGAGTACCTCCATGCACATGCCTCACGTCTGTTGTTTGACACAGGACACGCGCGTTTTCCTCCTTGCTCCCTGCGACGCAGATGCAATGCTAGAACCGACCGCTAGAAGCACCCCCCCCTCCTTTCGCGATCGGGCTCCGACGGTGATGATGCGATGGCACACTATGGCACGCTCGACCGTCTCCCTGGAGATGATGGCATGGCCGCCGATGACTCCGCAGAGGCAGGATGCTGAAAATCTGAGGATGACTCACGTTCCTTGCATGTCCCCTTTGCATTGCACATACTTGGCCGTCGCATCTCTGGTGACTCCGGCATGCCTGGCCACGCTGACCAATCCGGCAAGGCAGGATGACCAGGATGACCAACAGAAGGTGATGACTCCAGAATCTCAGGTCTCACCACTTCCTTGGATCTACTCGGCTGCGGCTGCTGCGGTGAGTCTGGCATGGCTGACCAATCTGCAGCAATGGGAGGACGATCAGCACGAGACAGTGCCTCAAGAGCCTCACGTTTCACCACTTCCTTGGACTCAGGTGATAATGAAGGGCTGGGAGTATGGGGCGACATCGATGCCAGCTTGGGCCGCTTCGCCTTATCAGGTGGATCGGGCGTCACGGACGCCATCTTGGGACGCTTATGCTTAGGTGGAGTCTCATCCAAGTCGTCCACGACCACGATAGCAACATCGTCTGTCCGGACCCACACCGACATTGCGACAAGCAGGCTACGACACCTGGAGTCAAAAGCAGCCTCGGACAGCACGGCGGAAGCAACTGCCCTAAGGATAGCCAGGCATGCACTTCGCGGCGCACGAAAGAGGAGCACCACTCTCGCCTTGTCCATCTTCTCGCGGGATCACAGCAGCATCTGCCGAAGGTCCAGTGGCCTGACAGGAAACCGAAGCGTCAGCAGACCAAGCAGAGACAGACTGTGTGTCGCCAGCATGCACCCGCAGGATCACTCAAGAACCTGCCTCATCATCCTGAGCCGATCCCCCCCGAACTGGACCATCATCGATGTCCTCACCGAAAGCGAGGCACAAGCCTGCTAACACACTGCTAGCTACCCACGGCCTCGGCGCCATCAAGACTCCTCCCAGGGGCCTGGCGGGAGAGTCAGTAGACCGAGAGACAGAATGTCTGTCAGGCACTTGCAGGATCATGCCTCCTTATTTTTGTCCTCAAGAACCTCACCCCTCGTTTGCCCAGGATCTGCTCTCTCCTCCCCACTCTAGGCTCACTACACATATTACACTGATACCCGGCCTATGCCTAGGTTAGCCACTGGAGCAGACCCCGGACGAGCTGTTCCAACAGCTACTCAGAGCTACTGCCTGGCCCCCTTGCGAGCTGCGCTGTGTTGCTGTGTGGCGCTGTGTGTTGCTGTGTGTTGCTGTGTGATGCTGTGTGTTGCTGCTGTTGCTCAAGGAGGCCGACACTACCACTACAGGCCAAGTGCCGCCACCGCCCGCTCACACCCAGGAGAGGTGCTGTTG